AAGCAAGAGTCTGACAGCATTTACTGAAATTCCTGAATTACCCAGAGCTTGTGTTATATGCCTTTTTTTTGTTTTGCATTGCCTACACCTCTCTTGGCTTGTGAACCAGAATCAGCCTGCCTTTGTAAGAGGAATTCCCATTCCGAGATCGTACTTAATTTAGAAAATGCAGCTAGCATCTACGATAGTTCAACCAATTAAAATGCAGTAAAAAAACACTGATAAGCAACAGTTTTTTAGAGGTTTCCTTTGTTCAGTTTTAGATTTCTACATATATTGACATGGCAATAATACAATTATCTCAAATTAAGGCACTAAAAAGGACAACATAAAACCCAGTAAAAGTGTTCTAAGAATAATTTACATTTCAAACAGTGCATATATTTCTTACATGTTTGTTAACTTAACGTATGTTATCACTTAAAACCGTAAGGCAATACTTTATACAGTTACAGAAATGATGTACCCCAAAATACGCTTGCAAACTCGGTGGTTCTTTTTACTGTTAGTTTCTAATGCCTCTAGTAGTAAAATAATTGAGTATGGCTTGGCAAATATGCATAGATTAAAGGCAATTACCTGTTTTCCCCCCTCTGCAAACCTGCCGAATCAGTATTTCGTGAAGCACGAGGCAAGGCGTTTCCCACTCCGACCCCTTCCCTAGCCGGTGGTTAGCATTAAGGCTGTTAGGAACTCTGCAGTGAAGGCACTGAAGTTCAAGTGATAAGGCTTCATTTTTTAAGCTAGTTCTGCAGTCTTCAAGAGGAGTCTTGAAAGCAATTGCAGTCCTTCTCATGGAGAAACCTTCCTCCTCTACTCAGTTTCGTATGCTCATCTTGACATAAATATCCCCCTCACAGGGTAAACAGTCCTTTTCTTTCACTGGTACGAAGAAAGTTGGCTGCATTTCATTGTGATTGACAGGCTTTTTTTTTTTCTTTAAAAAACCCTAAAAGGCAGCACCTTTTTTATTTTTTTTTATACACCTAGCTAAGCTTTATTTGCTCGAACTTGCATTACACAGTAATAATTAATCTAATCTACCTTTAGGCAAACCCGCAATTAAACACCCTCAGCGTGCTTTTGTGCCAAAGCAAGGAGGAGACAGGAATAGCAATCTTAACCCTGAAGCCTGTGATAGTTACGTTGAAAGGAACAACAGCCTGTCTGCACTGCTCTCTGTGGTTAAAAGAAGCCCTGTTTCTCGGACCGCATCCCAGGAGATTCCATTAAGCACTGTACACGTGGTTAGCTGGAACAAAGAAGAAAGCAGACAATTAATAACAAATAGGGAAAATTGGCTGCGTAACGCCCGCCCGGGCCTGCCAGGGGCTTCAGCGAAGAACATGCTTCGACGCAGTATTTTTTCGGTTGGCATGACGCAGGACGAAGATCATACCCACAGAGCCTTCCACAAACTGTTCTTAATTTCAAACGACCCCGAACGAAGGCAGAGATCCGACAGATGATAGCATTACTGCAGCTTTACAAGGAAAGGATTCAGAGTAAACAGCCTGTGGGCGTATTCATGGCAAAATTCACGGTGACCAGCTGGCAGGACAAGAAAAAGGCTCTCTCCAGGGCCGAGAGGACACATGTGCAGTTGCCAGAGCTCCCCTGCAGCACAGCGTCCTACAGCGTCTGCATCCACCCAACACAGTACTTGGTGCCTGCTCGCAGGTGGGGCTCCACCCCCCACATCAAGTTCCTCTATACTGTCTGAGAACCCTTTTCAGGTGCTTAGTAAAAGCTAAAACACACACATCCCATAAAAACCATCCCTGCCTCTCTTACTCCCACATCAAGGTCAGGACGAGGAATGCGGCGTGCAGTGTCTCGAGTTCAGAGAAGCCGACCTGATAATTCACTGCATCCCGAAAGGAAAAGGGCCTGCTGTTCCTCCACTTTATCTCCTTCCTGACCCCAGGGAGCACCCTCCTCCTCACCTCAGCCTTGGCAGGCACTGTGCTTCTCAGCGGGCTGATCCCACTCACAGCTCAGCAAAATAAGCCTATTTTTTTTCCTGAAAGTCAGGAAACTGAACTGTGGACCTTCAAGGAAAGGTCCAAAATGGATCACTTCAAGCACTTATCCCGGATCAAATGATAGAAGAGCAGGGAAGGAAGACAAAGGGTGAATCCTCCCCCTTAAGCAGCGACAGGCTGTCAGATGAGCTCAGCTCCTGTGCAATCGCCCATTAACACCCAGTATATGAGATCCATTGTCAATTTATTTATATCTAATTATAAACATCTGGTATATCAGAAGTGAATTTGCCTAAAATAAATCCAGTGCCTCTTCTTTCTAAACACACGGGGTGGAATATATGCAGTGATATCAGGGCGCAGGTCGGCCGTGCTCCATCACAGCAGGGACCGTCTAGTTCACAGGCACAACCAGCATCAAGTTTGTCTGTGAAAGCCACAAAAACATCCACAGCAGAACAGCTCGAAGGAGAAGTTCCTACCTGACCTTTTCCTGATGCTTATTTGCTCAGTGTCACTCGGGATCTTTGCACCATTCGCACACACCGCTCTGCGGGCACCACACAAGCCCCGCTGCCTTCCGGTCAACCCAGGGGCAGCTGTACGATGGGGATGGAGCCTGCCGCAGAGCCGCCCAAGCAGCTCCTCGAGCATCAGGAAGGCACGGGGGCTCCCCGCCCGACGCCACGCGGCACAACCGGCCGGCAGCACGCACACACCTAGCGCTCTCGCTGGGTTATGCTCAACATGCTTCTGCCCCCATACTCAGTGCCTCAAGTATATCCATCAGGAAAAGAGAGTTTGCTGTAAATTCACTCTGTGTTCTCAGAAGCTATCTCGGTATTAAACAGCACGAGGAAGCAAGATCTCTAAGGTCAATTATCAGTTACGTCACCAGACTCACTGATGGATTTGGGCTCAGTCTAAGCAGAGTAACAGAGGTGTTACCTGCCTGAGTGATATCACAGGCTGTTAGAAAAATTCAGGAAGTTAAAGAGAGAAGATACCACACGGGCATTAATTTCTGAATTGCCGCAAAACTCAAGAGCTTTATTTCTTCCCAAGACCTTGGAAGATCCCACTGGGTGATGGAGAAAGGTGTGAACGGATTCTGTGTGCTAGGGCAGAGGGGAAAACACAAGGCTGCACTATTCTTTCTGAACAGTTGATCCAACTGGATACTTCCCTAATGCAAGACCACCTTCACTCCTCCTCCTCCCATTCTTGAGACCGATCTTGGTTGCTGTGCACTAGGGCAGAGGGGAAAACGCAAGGCTGCAGTGTTCCTTCTGAACAGTTGATCCGACTGGATACTTCCCTAATGGAAGACCACCTTCAACCCACCTCCTCCCATTCTTGAGACCGATCTGGTGCTTTCTGGACTTTTCCATTGCAACTTCCTAACCCAAAGGAAACCCACATGCTATTCTTTTTTGGGGTTAGGGTTGGGGTTTTTCTTGTTGTTATTCTTTGGGGGATTTTGGCTTTTCTTTAGTGAAAACATTCCTGGATTAATTCTCTGCTGAAAAATAGATCAGTGTACTGTGGTGATCTGTGACGCATGCTCTGACACATGATAAAGCACAGGAACGTGCAGCTCTCCTCCTTCTGGTGTTGTATTAGGCTTGCTGTATCGTTAGGACCTTAAAGAGAGCTTTAAAGATTGTATTTCTCATTTTTAAAAAAGCTCCCATTCAGTACTTCCATACGCCTATGATTCTTCACCACTCTGACAAGGCAAACGCCAACAGGACTAATAACAGAAATTGTCTGAATAATGGGTCTCTCCAAACAGACCCTTTACTTTGAGCTACTGCCCCATCCCTGGGACTGTTCAAGGCCAGGCTGGATGAGGCTTTGAGCAACCTGGTCTAGTGGAAGGTGTCCCTGCCCATGGCAGGGGGGTTGGAACTGGATGGTCTTTAAGGTCCCTTCCAGCCCAAACCATTCTGTGATTCTGTGAAATTTTCAAATATGTGAACCTCTTCATTCTAGAAGAGATCAGCTGCAAACCTGTTCTTGCTATTGGCAACTCCAAAGCAGCATTTCTATTAAGGCAGAGTGAAAGAAAAAAAAAAACACAACAAACCCACACCCCAAAACAAAACAATGAATTGATTTTTAAGAAAATTGATTTGTTCCCAAAAAGCGTATAGATTAATGCTTCTGTGCTTTTCCAATTAGCTCTAAGATGCCATGAAAAAAAGTTAACATCTTGACATGGAAAACATGAGAAATCACATGGTTATGCTGAAAAACCTACTGAAAAGCTAACAGCTGTAAGACAGCTGAATACCACAGCTGTTTTTCCTAAAAGTCGGTTTTTAACCTCCCGCCCCTTTCTTTCAACTGCGCGCGCACATGCAAATTCGCTCCCCAGCATGGCATACATTACAGTAGCTGCAGTGTACCTCATCTAAAAACCCTCCCAGAAATTGGAAACAAACGATGCCACAGAACTTAAAAAAAAAAACTGGTTATTACAGCACGTAAATGGTGTATTAAAATAATTCCATCCAAGCCCACTGGCTGGTTGGGTTTGGGAGAGTTGGTCGTTTTGGTTTGGTTTTCGCTGTCCAAGAATGCTACCTCATCATTCTCGTATGATCTGCCATCTTGCTGGGCCAGCAATGCTGAGTAGCATTGTTTTGGTGTCACATTTTAAAAACTCCTTTAAGACTGTATTTATCAATTTTACTTATCAGTTCTAGGTTGGTTTGTTTTTTTTTCCTAGAATTGATGATGGGATGACCATTCAGTATCCAAAACATTCTACCTGAGCCTTTTAAGTATTAACATGATATGCTTTTTCTTTCAGTCTTAGGTGGTCCAAGACTCACTGAAAACATCTTAGTAAATCGGTAACACAGCTCTTTAACCAATTCTAAGAATTTCTATTATCTTCACCTCTTTAAAAGGTCTGCCTTTAATAATTAGTTCCGAGAATCCTGATTATTGAATCACAGAATGGTTTGGGTTGGAAGGGACCTTAAAGATCATGCAGTTCCAACCCCCCTGCCATGGGCAGGGACACCTTCCACTAGACCAGGTTGCTCAAAGCCTCATCCAGCCTGGCCTTGAATATATCATATCAAAATGTATCATGAGACACATAAAAGCACTTCCATATTTTTTTCAACCACAGGAGTACTACTTCTATTGTAAATAAAGGTGATGCTAAACAACAGCTGTTAATGATGCATATTTTAAAATCGGCAGGTGCACCTTACATCCAAAAGCCTTAAGAGATCTGGCTAATGTCTAGGGGGGCGGTGTGCCTAACATTTTTCAGTAAGTCTTGGAAAATTGATGACTGAAGGAAAAATAAGTTTGGAAACACTGTGAATCTTTATAAAAGCTTTTGGCAGTTGGGAGAAATGGACATTTTGTAGACAAGACAAACAGTTCAACAAGATTCTGTTGTACAAGTACACACCACATAAGTACGTAAAAAAAATGACTGAACCCCTCCGGAATTAGCAATTACCTATTTGTCTTTATTTGGTACAATCCTGAAGGTGCTACTGTTTAGTAAGCAAACTCTGATCATACAGTCATTCTTCTTAACTCAGGTTTATCACTCCATACTTTCCCACTGTGTTCACCCTTGTTTTCAACAGATTTTCACAGTGGAGACTGTAAGGAAAAACTGCCCGCTTCCCAGGAAATCTCCCCAGAAATCAGAAGTGGTTCTGTGTTTCACACCTTCGGCCTGCTTAAGCACCGGTGTTGGAAAACTTAAAATCGCATCACGATTCAGTTACGTTCCTGCCAGTTGAACCATAACGGGCAGGCTGAGACTTCAATTCAGTGTTTGCAAATATGGCTCCTCCCCCCACCGCCCCGGTACTCTAGACATGGCTACATCTACTTATTTCTGCTGGTCACAGATTTCTTTTAATGTCCCTCTCCTCGTGCTGTTGCACTGATTCTTATCGCTAACACAATAGTGCCTGCAACGTCACCGTTTTTTATACTGACAGCTTTGTATTCGAGGCCTAAAGTAATTTTCCTGGATGAGGTTTTCTTGAGTGCCTTCACTGAACAGAGCAGTATCTCCAAATCATGGTCACTTACGTTTTAGTGTTAATTATGGGGACAAGAAAAACATCACCCTTTGAATCTTCCTGATTTTTTCCCTACTCCCCTCTGCAGGAGGATGTTTCACAGTATACCCAGCATCTCTTTGCATGCAAAAGTTTGCTTTTCTACATTCACACAAGGAACGTTTGCAGGACATTCATTTTGGTAGCCCTGCCAATCCAGGAAGACTCCCTGCTGAAACATTCGTTTTCACTTCATACTAATGACCCATTCGGTTATTTTGGGGAAAAGGAACACTGTCCTGTTTGAGGAAGCTAATGTAGGTCAAAAATCAGCTTACGGTAACCTAGCATCAATAAAGTGGATTTTAAATCTTGCCCCAGTTAATGCACAGGGTCACAAACAGTCTAGAACTGCAGGGATAGAAGACGGGGAATAAACAAGCAGGGAGAAAGAACTGAATTAATACTTAAGCTGCCTTACACCAAGAGAAATAGCGTAACAACAGACTGAGAATGTTTGTCATTTCATCCCCACGCGCAGAAGAATCCTAGTTTACACCAGCTCAGTGAGCCAATCCATGAGTGACTCTGTGGGTCATCCCTGACGTCAAATGTAACTGCCGATACATCCACTGAGCCTGGTTTTTGAATGGGAAAAAATACAACCAGTTCCCTCACATGCTGGCAGGCCAGGCACCGCCATCTCCACGGTACCTTGCCAAACCCGAAGAAACGATAAATTTACCGTAATAGCAGGAGAATTCTGACTGTTCCTTCCATTAGGATTTGAGCAAAGATTTATACCAGCAGTTCAATGGTCATAACTATGGAATTATTTGGCATCTTCATATTAAGATTTATAAACAGTGATTTTTTTTTTTTAGTTAAAAGATCCATATCTTTTGTAGTTTCTCACCTATTTTTTCCAGAAGTATTTTTAACAACTTTTCGGAATGACTGATTTGCTGAGGATCTTGTAGACATCGTTCTAGGAGAAGCGCGAACAAAAGTCGACGGTGGCGTCTTAGGGATCTTCTTTACTAAATGAGTCACCCACTTCTTCTGTTCATCTTGACAGGATGCCAATAACAACATATCTCTTGCGGAAGTCACATCATAACTCACTAGAAGCAGAAGGAGGAAGATGATCCAATGAAAACTAGAACTGGTTATCAAACTAGGGATTATGACATAGTGTGCATGCCACTGAAAGAACAAAGGCACCTACACACATACAATCAGAATTGTTTTGGAAGACAACAAGCAGCAGAGGAAATTATGAATATATAGTTTCTTTCAATATTCATCACTCTGCATTAAGATTATTGATTCTGACATTAATATTAAAGAAATGAAAAAAATTAAACTAATTGCAATCTTAATAAGCTGGAAAGTTGTGTGGGTGCCTTATGGCTGAATTCATAGAATCACAGGATGGGTTGGGTTGGAAGGGACCTTAAAGACCACCGAGTTCCACCCCCCCTGCCTCATTCAGCCTGGCCTTGAACACTCCCAGGGATGGGGCATCCACAGCTTCCCTGGGCAACCTGTTCCAGTGCCTCCCCACCCTCTCCGGGAAGAACTTCTTCCTGATATCCAATCTAAACCTCCCCACTTTCAATTTAAACCCGTTACCCCTTGTCCTGTCACTACAGGCCCTTGTAAAAAGTCACCCCCAGCTTCCTTGTAGAGTACACACCCTACACAGAGAGGAAACCTTTACTCCAGTCGGTGAAGCAGCTGAAGAACCACCCTCTTCAAGGCCTTAGCACCGCCTGCTGATGCGGCCACTGCATGTCCCTAATGGGTGTCCCATACAAGAGAGACTGGTCTGGGAACTAAGGAGCTGCCCAGTACTTGGGCACAAACCTCTAGAGGCCCTGGGGCTCTCAGGGCCCCCAGCAGAGCCACGGGTCACACCACGGAAGGCCTGCCTACAGAGACTTGCTACAGCTGCCTGTTCATAAGCATTGTCAACAACCTGTTATTTAACAGCACCTCTCACATCTAAAAATCATACAACTAAAGAGTAGAAAGCTTTTAGCCTAAAGTGTTTTTATTTGCCTCCGACAGTTCAGCGGGTCTGGCTAAACATGCAGAGAAGAGAGAACACAAAAACCCAGGAGTATACCTTTGCACGGTGCAATTAATTCCTCCTTTTTATCCAAGTGGTCTCTATGGCACTTCACATGGCACCTCCGACATTCTAGGGCAGCGGGGGGTTTAAAGACGTGCCAAAGAGGTTTGGCACAGGCCTCGCAGTTGGCTGGGAAGTGGTATAACGTTGGAATAAATTCATGGCCTTTGTGATTTAGAAAGTTTGTCTTCTCTGCCGGCTGTACTGGCTCTACCTCCAAATCCTTCCTGCATTCCCCCTCATTAGCATAGAGAATCTGAAAAAGAATACTGCTGGGTTATTATTGAAGCACTACGTATTTTTACACACTTTTCAAAGATGCCACTAAACTTTGTCAAAAGAGTTAAATAGAAATGAGAATACACTTCTTTTTACCTGGAATATTTTAGGAATTTCTTCAGTTTCAGCTCTATATACATCTCCTTGCGTTACAGGCCGGACATGGAACAGCTTACTAGATTAGAAGGAACATGAATCAGAAGATGTAAAGGCTATGTGTGATTTTAAAACAGTTATCAAAGTGCTTTGAAGTTCTCACGAAAAAAACAAGGCAGCATGGTATACTTCAAGGCTGCAATATGATTTCTGGAATTAATTCATAAGCCATATAGATCTTGTCTACCCAAGTAAGACCAAAAAACTTCATAGCGTGGAAAGAGGGTTAGCCTACAATGGGTTCGAGATCCATCATGGCAAATTTAACTGTGAAAAAGACTTTCAAATCCTTCCCCAGAACATTATATTTTACATTAGAACATTAGAATCTATGTTCCCCAGAACGTTAGATTTTCCTGGGAAATCTGATTATTGCTAGAAAAGCTTTTCGGTAATCCTGGATGGAAGTAGCCACATGAAAATAGTATTACTCATTAATTTTTTACTAAATCATATTATCAACTGACAAACAACCAATGGCAGAACATCACAAAAAGGCAACCTGGGGCACCAGCTGTTAAAAATGCCATTAAAATTGGAACAAAGATCATGTTATGCTGGGTCAAGATGAAAGTCCATCTATCCCAACATCCTGTCTTCAACAGTTGCTGCAGCAGATGTTTATGAAAAGAGAGTAAGTAACAGCTCAAAGACAAAATAACTCTTTTCCTCATCAGAAGCAATTGGCAGCTTAAGCATTTCCTGAGCCTGAGATTCCTTCCAGACCACTGCATTAGTTGGTCACTGATAGACTTATTCAGGAATGTTTAAACCTTTTTCCAATTACTACTCTCTAATGCCACATAATGTCAATCAGCTGTTCAAACACCACACTCATTCATGTATCAGCATTGGGCATCAGTGATACCTGACACAATTTTGCTCGTGTATAACCAATGTAAAGGGATTGCAATTCATTTGTTTTGTCAGTCTAAACAAAAACCATCTGGAGAAGTTAGAAATGCTTTGGGCTTGATCAACGCTGACCCTTTCTCAGCAAGAAAAAGGTACGAAGCAAGGGAATGAGACCTAAAAATCGGACGCCAGTTCCCTACCCATCCCACAACTATCCTGCCCTGCTTTAGAATGCAGCTGTTGAAGGAGCTGGAGAAGCACTGATTCATAAAAAGGTAGTATGTAGGTTCCTCTACTGTCTCTGACCCTTCTCGTCATGATGAGGCTCTTCATTTCTGTAAATTGAGATCAGTGACTACAGACAGTGCCACGCTATGAGTATGTAACTTTTCCTCTAACTCTGAGCAATAGTAGGACAAAGAAAAAGTAGTATCTTAACAGCACCTTGAAATACAGATACACAGACATTTTCCAACTGGTATGAGAAATTAAAAATTATTTACGGAATTTTGATTCCAAGCTTCTGCATCTGTTATCAATTACCTCACACACAATGCTCTTTTGCCAATTTGTATCCAGGACAACAGTAACTTTACTTACTCTATATCTAGTACCATAGATGGATTAGACTGGTCCTTGTCCTTTTCATCATTGTAGAACAGTATCTTTTTACTGCTCACCACAACATACTGGGGAAAGAAAGGGTAAAACCAAGTTAAAATTGCATTTTACAAAGCAACATTTTTATCCTACTGTACTTCCATATGTGCATAAAAAGCCTGAGCAAATTAAGGTTTTTAAACGAATACCGGGAGATATTAAAATCATCCTGTAGGCAGATGTACTACTGACAGCTGTGCAGGGCTACAAGCTGCAGTCACTGGTGCACCCTAAAATGCTTGTGATGCATCGGGAAAATCCATCTGCACACAGACTCACAGATTTCAGTTGCTAATGGCATTTAGTTACTAGGAAAAATTACTGTATCACTGAGAAACTCCTGGAGTGCAAAATCTATCACTTTATCAGAAAGCTGGAAACAACTTCTGTAGTTCTAGAGATGAGCAGGATTCACTGGTACTTCACACCAGTTAAGTGGTACTGGTAGGTTCAAAGAGATTCTTACAGCTCCCGCTAACTATTTCCTAGACTTTCAATTTAATGGACTGGTAAAATCCAGAGCCAAAATGTATCAGCTGGTATACATTCCAACCTAGGAATACACTGAGGCAGTAAGGGAAAGGTTTGCAGAGGAAAATAGAAATGGACATTGTTTTGCTACATGTCACTTTGAAGGTCAAACCACACAGTTTTTTCCAGAGTGGTAAAGATGATAAAGAACAGAAACATTTGGTAAAGTGCTTATTAGTTGTTCTACCCCTGAGTGTTTTAAAAGTTCTTACTTAAAATCTGCATACTAATACGTAATACCTATCCCCATGCCACTGAAAAAGTTGAGTACTCCAGAATGCGTGGGATTCTGGGTAATAAGCAAGAGCTACTTGGAAGGCACTGTGAATTTTAGAGCAGGAGTGGGCTGCAAGCTCCTTTTCCAAGGGAATTCCTAAATGCTGCTATGCCTGCAGTCTGCCCTCCCACCCCGAAAAGCCCAAGGATGTTGTCCTCAACCTAAAGTACACAGACACCCTTCCAGTGCTGCTCACAGTCACACAAAATTATAAACATTTGTTCACATGACAGGAAAAAGCAAAGCAAGCTGCTCAGAAAAGAAGGTTTGTAACCCACAGGCCAATTAAGATCGAACTCTGCTAACCTAAGCGCTTCCCAGTGAGCTCAAGCCTGCAGAATTCACTGCCTGTCGCTCTACATTGGGAGCTGCCAGTCCCACGTCTCTGCTGAAACTGTCCATGAGCATAAGCTGAGCGACAGCCCATCCCAGCAGCTTCAAATGCTTTAGAAACAAGTTATCAAAAGGTATGAAGTACTAAAACAGACTAAAAAGAGGTAGACTGAATGATCTGCCTATACTGAGCTCCAGATCCAGGTCTAATATGACCCAGAAGAGGGGTGTGGAATGTTCTTATTCAGTTTTCTTTTTTCTTCGATGAAGTAATGTATACACACTAAATTAATTATTTTGTTTGTTTCTTAAATGTGAGCTGTAAACCCAATTCACTGTATGCCTAAAAACAGCTTTCTAAAGAATCTGAGGAAAGAAAGAAGTTCTATCTGTACCTGTTTCTTCCAGCCGTGCCGTTTTATATTTCCTTTGTTTGGTATCGAAAGCCAACCTTCAAGTCTTGATTCTGGTTTAAAAAAAATGCCTATTAGATAATTTTATGTACATATAATAAAGCAGAGTAGCCCAAAAGCAAACTATTACTAGACTGGAAGAGGTACTACATGCAGTAATAGGCAATTTCCTATTCAGCAAAGCAAAATAAAAAGCACAGCTAAATAAAATGAAGATATAAGCATTTGTTTCATGCTCCATCACAAACTAACACTCGCTTATACAGTTACTGCAAAGTAAAGTGAAGCTGTTTTCCTCGACACCAACATCTAACACTGTATGTAAATAGTTTACAAAGAGCCAGGCAGGAAAGACTTTGCTCTGAAAATGTGTTACAGCTTAAACAGAGGATGATTAAGAAATTTTCTATATAAACATAATTTAACATTCAGAAGGGCTATACAAAAATACTCAGTAGGAAGATGCAGCGAGTAAAACAAACCAGATCCACATTTTCCAAGGGAAACAAAAATCAGGAGAGCGCACAAGAGCAAGCAAAGCTACACAAGTGTCCCATTACTCACAGAAGATAAGCATAGGAGATAAATAAATAAGGAATGCAGGAAGAATCAACTAGATATAAAGAATAAGAGACAAACATTTTATTTAAATTTCCAGTGGACAATTTTCCAGAGAGTAATGTAATGACGTATTTTCTTACCACGAAACTACTGAAATAATTTTAACAATGATACAAAGAAGCATCACAAGAAAACGAACATTCTGCCTAATGGGAAACATTTAAAAAGAACCCTCCAGCTAACTGCCATTGGGCTTTGGTAGGTAATTTTTAAATTATGAAATCAGTTAATGAGCAGTGAGGAGCTATCACAATTCCATTAATCTGAAATGACACAATAAAAAGTCCCACAATTTTTAAATGTGAGAATGATGTAATTAGAATTTCACTCCATAATTATAAATTCATTTAACAATTGAGAAAATTTTTGTAATTTTTTTAAAAAAATTGTAAAAACGTGATTTGTAAAAACAGCATCAGAGGACAAAAATACAGCTGATAGCCAATGTATGCATTCTTTACAATAAACTTAACTGGCAGCAATGAAAACTGCAAAACCATTAACTTAACATTTGCTGAAACATTCTTCACAAATATTTATGTGAGGAGAAAGTACTGGTCCCTTTTATCCTTCAGGGATAACTGTGTGCCCAGCAAGCTCTGAAAATACACCCAAATATATAAAAGACATTGTCTGCACACTTTGTTATGTAAAATTACAATGAACTTTACAGCCTAGCCTTCTACGAGGCACTAAAATTAGGCGTTAAAAATCCCTCTCCGCATTAGCCTTATAGCAGAGCACGTTCAGAAGTGACTACACTTAAAAATATGGAATAATTTCCAATAATTTCTCCACACAGAATAACTTCGAAACACTGGGAGACCACTGAACTATTGAAATTCTAATTAGGAGAAGGGGATGTTAGCAGAACTCATTCTAGTTAGAAACCTTTCTGGAAAAATGAAGGAAATTTTTATGTCCCTGCTTTTTAAATATGCAGAAGAATTGCAGAGGGTGGAGGTTGCTCCCCCCCCAACCCCTTCCCAGTTCTTGATAGACAGTAGCTTTGGAAAAGGAAACCTATTTCCCTCATGTCTGCAGGCATCACAAATAACACTTACCCTATTTTGAATACTTCGATTAATTTTTACACCAAGAGACAATCCTTCCTTTTTTTAGACATTTTGGAAATATCCTAAAACTCAAATCCTCCATTGCAAAATAAAGTGATTAACTGCTAATAAAGAGCACAGCATGGATGGCTGATTAGAAAGGAATGAGCATGCATCTGTGGAAATTGTGGCATATGAAAATCTGGAAAGATCCAGTAACACATTTAAAAGATGCACCAAGTACTATGCTGCCTATAGAGTAACTCCTACTCACACTGTCCCTAAGTTCACTTCTATTTCAGTACATTCTGAAAGAAATTTCAAAGGCAGTAGTAAGTGGATGAGCTCTTACAAATGAATCTGTCGACATTCTTCCCTGTCCACTACAAATCTATTTTGGTGAGCAAATTCTGTTTGCATGAGAGATTATTTCCGAGCTGTGAATAACGTCTTGCTGTTGAAAATAACAGTTTCTGAATGTGCTCCTTTTCAACAAAGCAAACATTTGTCTGGAACCAAATGTACTCTTGAAAGGGTAGATGAGCCCTTTCATTCCAACCTTGCCACAAAGGTTTGGCTCAATTAATATTTATAATGCATTTTAATTTCCCTTGACAGAATTAGCTAGCACAACTGCAAATGCTCATCTGGCCACTTTGCAAATATTTGATCCAGAAGAATAATATTTATGAGCGTTCTGATTAAGTAATTAAGAAAATATGGCCTATCTAGACTATGAAAAAGAATCTTCCATTCCGGTCTTTAAAAACAGGCTCAGAAGTATTGCCTGACAACTTCCCTGTATTTTGGAAAGAATCACAGAATAGATACTTCACAGTTCCAATCCAGAAATTCCAAGATAGGCCTCAAAAATATCTGATAGGTAGCTGGACCCAAACAGAATTCAAAGAAAGAATTCCATGAAGGCTACAGATCTCTGAATTTATATTAAAATGTGGATTTGCATTCTAATCATCTTAGAATCACAGACTGGTTATGGTTGGAAGGGACCTTAAAGACCATCCAGTTCCAACCCCCCTGCCATGGGCAGGGACACCTTCCACTAGACCAGGTTGCTCAAAGCCTCATCCAGCCTGGCCTTGAACACTTCCAGGGAGGGGGCATCCACAGCTTCTCTGGGCAACCTGTGCCAGTGCCTCACCACCCTCTCCCTGAAGAACTTCTTCCTGATATCCAATCTAAACCTCCCCACTTTCAATTTAAACCCATCACCCCTTGTCCTGTCACTGCAGGCCCTTGTAAGAAGTCCCCCCCAGCTTCCTTGTAGGCCCCCATCTTCATGTTTAGCATTCATATTGCCAGGATTCATTGTGGTTCATTATGATAAATGTGAGTTCTAACTATGTCTTTAGTAAAATCACACAGGGCAACTATGACCTGATTTATGCACCGTTGTTCTGGAGTTAAGTAACAGAGGTGCCTTCATGAGCAGTAGAGCATCTCTTTCCAATGTCCAAGAATTCCTATTCCTCAGGCTCTTCCATAGTAACCAAAAACCTGGAGATACTATCTCGCTAATTCTTTCCAGGCTATTCTTCCCATCTGATTCTTCCCTTCCTCAGACTGTCTTACTAAAAAAGTTCATGTGGATCTCACCAAGGATTGCTGGCTGGATCTTTCCTTGAGGTTTAGTCAGGTGATGGCTACTTGCAAGTATTTCAGAAAGTTGTATTCGTATCCCATATTCAAAAAAAAAAAAAAAAGTTGGCTTAAATAGTCCACATTTACTATTCCATCCTATCTTTGTGTAAAAGATGATTTATAACATACACCATAAAATACTATGTGCTGCAGTTAAAACTGTTGGACAGCTCAAGTGCTTAAAATACCTTGCCAATCAGATGAAAAGAATTAATTTACTATAGGTTAAGTGCCCTGTAACAATTAGGAAAAAAACCCCAAACTTAAATTCCCGATTATGTTTTGTCTTGACAATGAAGAATTGTGTTTACAATCATGTATGTATTAAAACTTCCCAAGTCTTGCCAGGAGGAAGAGGCATTCCAAAGGCATCATAAAAAGCAAGTATTTCATCTGTTTCAGGATGAGTCTATTAACACTGGAGACCTCGACTGAGAAACGAGCTGCTATCTGAATCAATAATCAGGAGTGAGAGCTACAAGAAATGCCTAGAATTGAATACAAGGAAAACCTTCCTCCAAGTCATGATCTTCCCCCTCTGGTAAAGCAAAAGCCTGAGAATAGCCTGGATTGTCTAAACGAGCCAACCAAGTAAGATGCAGCCCTAAGGTGTGTTACTGCCTGATTTCTCCGTATCCACCTTCAATTTTTCCCTAAAATTTTCAGGGTATTAGGAATACATTTTAGTTCTACCTTGAATTTATTCAGAGAGTGCAAGCTTTCTGACCCCAAAATTTTACAGGATGCTCTTCCTGTGAATGATGAATTCTAACTCCTAGCCTCTCTGGTGGCTGGTAACCTAAAGCTCCTTGATTAGACAGGACACTGTCCCATAGCCTGAACCTGTCTGCCATGCAGGAGGACAGCGGAAAATGCCTGAGAGCCAGTGGGGTCTCTGGAATTCCACCAATACTACTATCACACCGTTTCATACCAAGTTTCTTCTCAATTAAACCAGAGACTGCCCGTTGCCAGAATTAAGACCGTGGAATCATGTTTACATTTATTTCTTCCCTGGTGATGATGTTTTACTGTGACAGGAAACTGAAAAAAACATACTATAATTACTTATTTAGTAATTCTACTGTTTATATGCCTTAAATATTTTTAAGGAACGTCTTTGCCTTAAGAACAGATGCCTCAGAGAATCCTACTGACTACTCATCAAATCCACCTCTCAAACAAGATGCTATTCAAGGTGCTCTGTAGGAAGGTCTGTGTTTGGGCTATTCCAGCGATGGGAACCCAGCACGCAGTTGAAGATAAGCAACTTTATACAGCTAAAGTGTAGCACACGAAGTGCTGTGGCATGCCACCTTCTGTTTTGAAAGCTAATTACCTGGTTTGCAGAAAAATAACTTACAAAAGTCCTCATAATATGTATTGGAAGTCCTACGTCTATGACACAGTAACACCATTTAGAATGACTGTTACATTCCCCAGAGTAAATCAGAGTACCATACAACCGGAATGCATTATGGAAATTCCTACAGCTAGTTTTCACCTTGGCAATTATTGTCACTTGTCACAAAGGTGGTTCCATGACTAGGAGTAAGAACAGACAAAACTCAAGGTAGTTTTGCATTCAACATACAAATGCAATCACGACATTGCGGAAGTCCTGGCCCTGTGTTCTGTTCAGTGGCACTGCACACTGTATTCACTACACTCAAACAGCAGCAGATGTAAAGGTACTCTTTCCATGAAAGTGTGTAAAAATGATGCTAATGTCAAGCCATACAGTGGGAGGAATGACGTGAGAAGTAATTAAGACTTAAATATAAGCAGCTAGCCTATGAAATAAAAACAGTCAAACAAAAGGAAGTGGAGATGTTGTTTGAAACAATACCTTCCGAAACTATGGATTGTATGCACAAAATCAAGTAGTTCAAATACGCTTTCCTCTTACCTGAAAGATTTCCATCTGTTTCATCTGTCTGGAGACTAGCAACACTGGTAGAGTCCATTCCTTGCTGGAGGTCCAAAATTTTCCTCCGTAGTTGTTCTATGTCACTCTCTTTACTATCCAGCTGCATCTGGAGTTCATTCCTGTATGTAGATTCTTCTGCTAGTTGCTGTATTTATATACACATGCATAGTTACTGTGATACCAAAAATATGGCAACAAAGTATTCTGAAAACAAAACTCATTATGTGTTTTTTTAACTATAGCTGTTGATAACATTAGCATAAATTATTAGAGTAGAAGTGTTCATTCAGCCTTAGAAAAAAGTGAAATACCAAAGATCCAGCAATGCATTCAAGTATGAAAGTCTGATTAATCTATTAAGTTACCATTTGTTTTGAATAGGAGACTACCTACCAGTGAAATAAACTGCATAAACTACATAGTATACTACACAGTATCCAGTTTTTTAGTCTTCATAATGTATCAGTAACTTCCACAGTTAAGAGTTTGGAAAGGAGAAATGAATGAGAACAAGCACAGCTGCATATCTATCTACAGAATTTTGGTGAGGTGGAGAACTTGACTAGAACATCTGAAACAGCACTCATCATTTTTTCAAGTACACTAGGAGCCATACATTTTTCCTGTGGTGAGAATTCCACAGCGTGACAAAAAAATTAAGATTATTTTACCGCTTGCATTTCATTGAGCTCCTTTTGGTATTTCACTACCATCTGATTGAATTTCTCCTTTTCTTGATTAAGCTCTAATTGGAGCTTTCGGTTTTCCTTCTCTTTCTTCCTCAAATCTTGCATGTTAGCTTTCTTTCGGTCTATTTTAAAATCTTTCCGATTCATTATCTCAGCCAGTTTGTTGACAGCCTGTTCAGAAAAAGGAAAACCAGTAAGAAAAATCACATATGAGGCATGTTTCATGCAAAACTTGCAAGTTCCTCAAGTTAACGTTCAACAAAGAAATTCTTCACCAACATAAACAGCCCTTACTCACCACAGAAATAATACCGAAAAAAAAAACATGGCATCAAACTTTATTCTTTCAGCTTTACTTAACAATGCATATTATACATCATGGTTAATATAAACTTGATCTCAAAGGAACTAGGGGTTAGCTGCACAAAAACGAATAAACTGAAAATATATCTAATATGCAAAGTAGTTACTGTTATTAAATTGCATGAAATGTTATACCTGTGTCTTCAGAGTTCTTTCAGTGCTGATGCTCTTCTCATAATGCATTCTAATGTTATTGATTTCCTCTTCTTTTTTTATTTTGAATTCTGTTAAAATAATATTCAACTCCTAAATATTTTATGTCAACGTAAATATTACTAAGCTCAATCACTTCTACAACTGCACCTTTATTTCTTCTCCCCTCCATTTTCCTGTTATGTCACTTAATGTGCAAAATAGAGTTTGCGATGACAAAGGTCACTGGCTTAGTGCTACTGTAATCACAGAAAATTACCAGAAGGCCATCTCAGAAAGGCATCAAGATGAAATACTAAAGCCAACATACGCATTTTTGTTTCCTGGTGACGACTAAGTTTGTTGGCCCACTTCCTTCATGTCTGCATACGAAAACTGTTTCTGCAGTACCAAAAATTAAGTCAGTACCCACACAGAATAAGAGTGATATAACTGGACTCAGATTCAACACAGATTCTCAAGTCAGGCATAAAGAGAACATGGGGAAAAGGGCTTTCTTTGAACGAGTCTGTCACATTCCCTCCCACCCCACCCCCCTCCCACACACCAGTTACTCTATTCTACCAATCTTTCTACCACACCTCCAGCCTGCTCATTTGTTCCCGAAGTTTCTAGAAGCACGCATTTCACTGAAAAGGATTTCTCCACCAAAGCTACAAACAGTTAAAGAGCAACCGTCAAGTACTTAAAAGTAACAAACTCCACAAACTGAAAATACTGAAATCTGCTTGCTCACCCAATCCCTGCTATTACGGAAATGCAGAACTAAGGGGAAATATTTGTGTGTGCTTTCCTGCCTATACAGTGTTTGCAACAACACCGGCAACACGACCGGTAAGGCCTTTACTCTCATAGTCGAGAGATCACAGCACGCATTCCGATTTTATAATGCTATCTCAAATGCAAAACCATGGGAGTAAACTAAGTAATAAAGTAATTTCCCATGTAGTCAGAATATCTGTAAATAGAATGCAAATCCACTCATGAGATCACAACTTAGATCCTGGATCTAAGCAGGATCTTAAGGAAGTTGAAATACTGATACTGCTTTAGTGTAAATACTGGAGATAGAAATATACTCTTCCTTAATAATTTTCATGCAGACAAGGGCATGGCTGGCAGAAGGGGGTTAGACAGACAATGTACTGGACAGGAATTCCTGACTATGTCTGCAGGAACTTAGTATTAACTTGTTTTAAAAAGTGAGGAGGGAGTGTGAGCAGAAACTCAGTTTTTCCTACTTGCTACAGCTGAAGTCTTAATCTTTTTCAACAATAAAGGCAGTGCATGAAAATGGAAGCAAGTCAGTAGGAAGAGTGGCAATTTACATGGCATATATATTTTCATTATGCAAAAAAAAAGATTATGCTTCAAATTCAATTGTGCTTCATAGCAGATGAATTAAAACTCCAAACACGACGTACCTTCCTCCTGTTTCTTAATTTTTTCACTGATTTCTGAATTTTCTTTTGTTATTAAATCAACATCTTTGGTTAACGTGTTATTAGTTTCTTCCAGCTAAATGAAAACAAATACATTTTAAAATAAAGAACTTGCCATAAATTGTAAAAATATTTATAATAGTATTATTTTAGATATCCTTAAATCTCTAACAGCCATTTACTTGGAACACCTTCCTCAGATTATACTCAAAAACCTGCTTACCTTTCAAACATGATTTTTTTAAAAAATGGTTCTTTTCTTCTAAGCTGTCTTGATCTTACCAGAAGGGTCAAAATAAACCTGTCCCAGAAAGAATTCTTTTTCTCTTTTTAATGATCTTTGCAGAACTGACAACACTGCAGTATATAATTAAAAACTCAACTTAAGCAAGAATTAAATTGTCAGTTATTGAATGTGGCAATTCTCCATTAATTTGTGATACTCCGGAAGAAGTAGTACCTAGACGCCTGATCTCCTGAATCCAGAGAGGAAAGCAGCTGATAGATGATGCAACTCCAGCATTCAAAGCTAGAGTGGATTCACAGCATCTGCTGCTAAGTAACTGTCATATATTATGTAAAACAGGTATAAATTAGCACAAAAATAAAACTAAATTTGGTCTAAGTCAAATACGTACATCGGTTTGCAAGAAAAAAAAAAAGAAAGGAAAACCATTATGCTTTGAAGATGTTAGCTGCCAGAAAAGAGTCAGGATCCCTTTGCCAACTTAATAAATACATATTAAAACCCAGACATTATTGCATTCCTGAAAAAAAGGGTTTGTTTGAAGCCTACAGAAATAGCTGTGTATTGAGAAATGCAGTTATGTCCGACAAAATCATCAGAATGTTTGAATCAAACCAACATATTGGCAGGAAAATATTCCTTCGATGCCACAGAGTGTCCCCTAAACACCACCTAAGTAATGGTGGCATTCTTGTAACAGAAAACATGTAACAAACCCAACTTCTGCTATCTTTACGCAGACGTATACGCATGGTAGCGCTAACAGAAACCTTTGAGCAAATGATTCAAGTTCAGTTACACCCAGACTTTTACTCAAGTTTTACACCCCCAGGATTCTTAAGAAAATCCACATAGCTGATGCTAAAGGTGGGAGGGGAGAGAAGTTAAAATCACTACTATATATGTAATATATATGGCTTGCTGTTTGAAACTGCTCAGTTAACACTGTTATCAACCTGATACTAATACTCAAGAGCTATGCTACAAAGTATGCTCAAAATTAGTTAGGTTTGTTTGTTTTTCAAATATTTTCCCAGTGGGAATAAACTCAAGACTTTCAAGTACTTTTTTTAAAAAGACTAAATTATCTTGCAGTAAGAATCCTCTAATACAGAGCTCCACAAATCTACAAGACTTAAATCATTGGGCCATGACAAGTAGTTACAAAAGATTTAACTGAATTACAGACATTCGCTTGATTTTTATTCTGGCTTCACCTCAGATTCAAGTTTACATTTCTCATGGAGTTCACATGACGGGATTTAAACGTTTAAGGTTCCAACTCAGCACAAAATTTAGATACTTAAATAGTTATCACTTATGATTGCACTAAGACTTTATAAATTAAAATAAAATGATAAATTTCGATTTCCATCTGGAAGATACATAGACGTGTTAACTACAGCAGAATAATTTACCCTTCTTATGATGCTGTCCTTATCAGTCATTTCTTGCCTGTGTCTTGATGCTGCTTTTTTGCTTTCTTGACTCAGTTCAAAATACTGTTCTTCAAGGAGCGCTCGTGCCAACTGTTCCGACTCAGCTTTGCTTTCAGCTAAATCCAACTGGGTACTAAGCGTTTCTCTGTAAAAAGGACATTAATAATTTGTTCTCTTATGCAAAACATTAAAAATTTTCAGGAAGACCAAAAAACCCGAATACTAAAAAACTAATTTGCTAACTTAGAAAATAGTACATCACAATTACTGATTGCTGGATTAAGTGATTTTGCTGAAATCTCACATCTACTAAACTTGGATTTCCAAGTATTTTCATTATCTTTTTCTCAAATTATTTTATCAGCTGTAGAAATATACCCAGTAATTATCAGGATAATATAATCCAATAATAAAAGTTGTTATACATGCAAGATGATTACCACAAATGGAATGTTTTTTCAAACTTTTGCATCTTCCTAAATTCTCAGAAGTCATGTTTCTTCCTCCAGATATTACAAATAAGAGTCTAAAGCAAATATAAATAATCATATTTGGCTTTGTGAGTCAGCACAGGTAACATCCTATGTATCTGCCATCTTACAAGGCATCATGGAACTCTTCTGAGACCTGTTTTTCTGAAACATTTTTAATCTGATTAAACTTCACACTATATGGAAAACCTTATGCCTATCTGAGAAACACAATGGGCATACTTTTCATTTTGCAATTCCTGCATCTTTCTTTGAGTTTCTTTTTCCTTTTCATCAATTTCCTCTTTCAGCTCCTTAACCTGAGTTTTGTAAAGTGTCTGTAAAAGAAAGGGGGAAAAAAAGTAATTATTATTCAAATTCCATTGTGAAATTCTTCGTTGTTTTGGTGCTGGTTGGTTTGAATCTGTCAAACCCAAACACATGCTAGAACTGCCTGTAATCAAATTTCAGCCTTCCTGCCCGTCCACGACGCACCTTTCCAGTTTCCCCCGTGTAGGGC